TGTGTTGCAGAGTTGGCAGGAAAGGTTTAATAGGTGACATGTGAGCACAGATTTGGTGACGGTAAAATAATGAGTTCTGAAGCCGTTGGTTGGGGTGGAGGGAGAGGAAGAGTATTCCAGGAAGGAGACCCTGAGGTAGTACGATGCTTGATGTGATGAGGGAGGAGGAGTGAGGAGGAAGACGCTTGCAATTGAACTGAAGTGAGGAGGAGTAGGGTGGGAGGTGATCAGGTCACAGAAGGTGACAGAGAGCCAGAGGAGATTGTGTTTGGAGCTTTTAGGCCACTGTCGTGATTTTGTCTTTACTCTGAGTTAGCTGGTAAGCCTTTGAGAGTTGCTAGGCAGAGACATAACGAGATAAATACATGGGCATAAATACACAGGTATATACATATGGGTACATAATGCATCTTAATTCCTTTTTATTCTCCCTTCTCTCCCTCTTTCCTTCCCTTTCTCTGTTCATCTCTTGTTCGCCTTCTCTTTTTTTGTACGTTTCCATTACATGTTTATATTGCTTATGTGGAGTTAGTACATATAAACTCCACATCTTAATTCCTTTTTTTGTCCCTTTCCCTTCCCTTCCTCCACCATCCTTCTATCTCTTGATCCCTTTTCCTTTTGAGAAAGATCTTTCTGTTTTGTTTTATTTTTTTCAAGCTAAACAACTTTTTTGTTGAAAGGACCTCTCATAGCCCCAAATTTTTTTTTATAGATTTTTTTTTTGTCTTTTTCATTTTTATCGGTACCGGGAATCGAACTCACGACCGCCTGCTTACAAGGCAGGTACTTATGCCGCTGAGCTAAAACCCTCAGGCCCCCAAATTTTTTTTAACACATACTGAAAAAATTTAAAACTATTAATACCTAAAATTATTTATTGTGAATTTTTCCCTCAAGACATACTAAACAGAGGAAAGCATTAACCTCTGCAGATATCAGCTCTAATTTCTTATTCTGGCTCACATGTAATTAATTCTTCCTGAACTACCCATGTAACCAGGGAAAAATGTATGTATCAGCATGCAGATGTGTACATATCACTAGATGCAAGTTTCAGCTAGTTATTTAAATTTTAATATAAGTAACCAGCAGACAACGACATAAAGTTAGCTCCAAATCCTCTGATAGATGTGTTTAGTACCTCTTCTTGGTTGTCTGCTCCTGTCTCTAGAACTGTGGCAACTTCTTGGAGGCTGGGCTCTTTCTGTTTTGAATGATTGCTTTCTTTCTTTTTTTTTCTTGATACCGGGATGGAACTCACAACCTCATGCTTGCCAGGCAGGCACTTAGGCTGCTGAGCTAAATCTCCAGCCCTAATGATTGCTTTCTTACAGTCTAGCTGGAAGCACAGAGGCCATTTAGGTGGTTCATGCAGCAGTCCAGGCAAAACATGCTGGTGGTCTGGAGCAGGGTGATATGGATATGTTTTGAAGATGAAGAGAAAATAGTGAAGGACTTCTCTGAGGTTTTAGGTCTGAATAATTAGATAGTGAAAATAATTGGAAAGTTGCTATGAAATGGCATGAGGAAGACTGCAGTAGACAAGATTAAGAATTTGGCTTTGGACAGGTTGTATTTGAGAATTTATTAGACATCCTACAAGAGATTTGCATCCTACAGTTGCAAATGTGAACTTAGAGTTAGTTGGAGAGGTCAGGGCTGGAGAAACAAACTTGAGAGTCAGCAATTTATTAATGCAATATAAAGCTGAGCTTACCTCAGATTAAATGAGTAAAGAAAGGTAAGGACAGCCCCTGGGCCGTTGAGGTTGAGGCTGAGTTTATAAGAAGAATGCATCAAAGAGGCCAAGGAGTCAGCCATGAGGAAGAGGGGAAGCTAAGAAAGTGGGGTGACCTTAGAACCATGGGAAGGAGTAGTGATCCCAATTACTAAAAAATGGTAATGGCCATTGAAGTAACAGTGTGACAGTGTGGCTGATCTTCATGGGCAATTTGAAGTGAAAAGTGAGGGGCCTACTTGTAAGGCTTTGAGAACCTAGAAAGAGAGATACAGACAATACAAACAACTTTTCTGAGGAGTTTGTTCCAAAAGAGAGAGGAATGGGGTTTTAGCTGAGATTGTATTAGTTTTCCATCACTGTAACAAAATATCCAAGATAACACATAAGAAAAAAGATTTATTGTTTCGGAATTTTCCATCTGTGGTTATGTGGCTGTATTGCCTTTGGGCTTATGGTGAAGCAGACGTCAGGGTGGGGAGTATGTGAGGAGGTGCAGGAAAGGTGCTTAATCTCATTCTGTGGAGGAATTAGAGAGGGTCTGGGGTCTTAACATCCCATCAAGGGTGTGCCCTGAGGGACCCAACTTCCTGGTAGGCACCTTCTCTTCAAAGTTCTACCAATAGCACTGTGGCTGGGGACACAATGGGTTCCTTCAATGCAGGAACCTTGAGGGAACATTGCAGACCAAACCGTGAGAGTAGGATACAAAGTCAGGGTGTTTTTTCTATGTCTTATGTTAGGTTGAGAAATAAAATGTTTTGTTCTTAGGGGTAATGATTAGCAGAGAGAAAAACTGATGTGCGACAGTAGAAGAAATTCTGAGAAAAGTTGGAGAAGTCCATTTTAATAAATTTATATGCATATGGATAATGATTTTTGTAGGCTGGATTCTTAGAATTCTCTGAGTCAAAGGATATGTGCACTAAAAATATCTGTACCAATTTATATTTTACCTTTAGTGTACACTCTTGCCAACACTGAACATTCCTAATCCTAAAAATTATTTTCATCTGTGTTAGCCAACTTTCTGTTGCTATAATAAAATACATTAACAACTTATAAGGAGGAAAAGTTTATTTTGGCTTATAGTTTCAAAAGATTTGGTGCCTGGTTGACTGGTTTTATTACTTTGGGCCTGAAGCAAAGCACAAAATCATGGTGCAGGAGCCACGTGGAGGAAAGCTGCTCATGAGGCCGGCCAGGAAACGGGAAAGGAGAGAGAGGGAAGGGGCTAACAGGATGCACCGTACCAGGCTACGCCCCCAGTGCCCTGCTTTCTGCACTAGGGGGGACCTTCTACAGTTTCTGCTACCTTCCGGTAGCCCATTTAACCGTGAACAGTTAAGTACTGCAGGAGTTAATTGTTTCTTAAAAGTTTAGAAGTTACCTATAAAATCTTGTAGGCCTAGAGCCTTTTTGCAGATCTTTTGTCTACTTTTTTTTTTTTTTTTTGATTAATGGTCTATATAGTTCTTTTTAGTTTTGGTAATTGAATTTTCCCCCCAGAAAACCTTCTTATCATCTACATTTTCAAATTTATTAGTTTCAAACTCCATATAAAAAGAGGCAATATGTCTTCTCTATGTATAGTAGATCACTGTCCTGACGCCATTATCTGGGCAATGAATGCTGGAGCCGTCTGTTCTTGCACAGATCTGGAGATTGATTTAGCTGTTTTCAGCCCTTTTGGGCCAGTGGTCTTGGGGTTATTCTTAGATTGTGGTTCTTTTGTTCATCAGGTTTCTGGACTGTTTCCTATCAGTTTGATCTTGTCTATTCTGTTTACAGAATTTCTACTGTTGAGGTCAGCTGCTGTGTATGTGCCATTTTGGTTTCCAACATTTTACTTGTATATTTTTATAGCTTTTCTGTCATTTCGGATTATTTTGAGAGGCAAATGCAAATTTTCAGCTAACCTTTTGAAATAGGAGTCATAATTCTTCCCCAAATGATTTTCTTTATAATTATTATAGTCTTTCATTTAATTGCTAGTTGGACCATTAGTTGGATAGTGACTTAAGTTTTGTTTCATTGCCAGTTGAACATTTGTTGGATCTAATTCAAGTAATGATAGTCAGATGAGTGTTACTTGTTTTAAAAAACATGAAGCCAGATGTCTCAGGGAAATACTCTCATTGAGAGGGAATATTGCTGTATTAGGACTAAGTATTCAAATAGTACTTTTAAAACCTAAAAGACATACTATAACATTTAGAATTGTGAGACGCTTTACAGATCATTAGACCAACGGCCTTATTTTATGGATGAAGAATTTGAGGTCCAGAGAGATTCATTGATTTATTTAAGGTGACAAAGTCAGTGATCAACCAAGATGGAAAGCCATCTCTTTACTTCCATTCTGCTGTGCTACTTGCCACTATACACATTATTGCTATTCTTTTTAGCCATGTAATGAAGGAGGTATTTTTGTTAAAAAATTTTTTTTAACCTAAAGATATTACATATGACTTGGAATTGCTTCTGAAATTTGGTCTTACATACTTTATTTTATGCATTCTGTGAATTTTACAGTTTCTCACATATTGACTATTATAATATAAATGTGAATTTAAAAAAAAAGGCTGTCGGGGAGTGCTCTACCCTAGATGAAAACCATATAGTTTATTTTTCCCACATTTCCTACAGACTTTGTATGGTTTATGGACTATCTGAGTTTCTTATTAGTGTTTTAAAAAGAAGCTTAAGGAATATAAATATATATATGCATGGGCTGAAAAATAATTTTATTAATAAATGATCAAGATTTCTCAGACCGAAGATTTCTGGTTTTTTTCTTTAAGCTTAATATAACATACTACTAGATCAATACCTAAATTTAGAAAGTCTAAAATATGTTAGCTTTTCAGCACGTACTTTGTTTATTTCTTCAGCAGACACTAGGGAATGTATTTATCAAATTTGCTCTATTTTTCTTGGTCTTTAACAAAAAGTGTTTGAAATGTTGGGTTTTGATTATTGATATCTCATGTTTTTAATATAGTTTTTAGTACATGAAAAGTATTGAGATTTGTGTCACTAGTAGATTTGGATGGGTTCTTTTCTCCCTAAGCAACTTAAGAATAGGGAAGGTTGGAAGACAGTTGCTCTAGAATTGTATTCTAAGAATATGTGTATAATTATATTCATGTTTTAACTCTTTTAATGGTTTTGAAATAAATGAAGTTTTGATTTTTTGGTAAACTGAAGAACAACTGCTGTCTCCGAGATAAATTCTAAGAATTTATTTTTTTTCCAGTTGGTCATAATGGCAAGTGAAGAAATTAATGAAGACTATCCAGTAGAAATTCATGAGTACTTGTCAACATTTGAGAATTCCATAGGTGCTGTAGATGAGATGCTGAAGACCTTGATGTCTGTTTCAAGAAATGAGTTGTTGCAGAAGGTATTAAAGGATGTAATTCTTAAAGATAAATTTCATAAGACAGATATGATACACGTAGAAAAAATAAATTAGCGAGTTCTGCTATTTATCCCTTTATTTCAATTTTATAAGTATTCTGGTGTTTTAAAGACGAAAACAGTCAAAATATCAGCCTTAAAAATTATTTCCTAAGTATATTTTTATTTTGTCTTGGTTTTGAAAAACAAGGGGCACTCACAGCATTCTTTTTGACAGATTCTATCTTTGACCTTTTAAGTATTGCAATGATGTTATCAGGGTTTCTGGAAACTCTATAGGACAAAAACAGTAAATTGATTTTGACAGTCTAAAATAAATCTCATTATGTTTCTTCTGTCTTTGGTACTGCCTAAGTATTTTAGCCTGCTTCTTACACATAAATGCATCATGTACAATGTTTATATTGAAAAATTACTTTTGACATGAAAGCCCAGATCATAACTCCAGAAATTAAAATAATTCAGAGGAATTTTTCTTGGATAATACACATTCCTTGTCTAACTAAAGGTGATACCCTGAAGTGAAAATTTGTGGGCCAGATTCACTGGTTAAGAACACTTCTTTTTTGCAAATTATTTCCAGATCATTTGGTTATTTGATTCTAGGAAGTGAAAAAACATTTCTTTGATACATTGTGCTTTGTGAGAGTTTAAAATATTATCTGATGGTGTTCAAAGTTTGTGCATTTCTTTTTTCTTTCTCTTTTTTATTAGTTGGACCCACTTGAGCAAGCTAAAGTGGATTTGGTTTCTGCATATACATTAAATTCAATGTTTTGGGGTACGTATATTACTTTGGAGTTAATTACAAAGCTAATATATTATTGTGAGGTTTTTTTTTAATGCTAACAACTTATATACCACTATATTTTTATGGCAATTGTAACAGTCCAATATTTATTTCTTTTAAATCAGAATACTAGATACTCATGAGCCACATATTACATAGTATTGTATTAGTAAAACATACAAGTTGAGTAATGTAAAATTGAACTAGCCACCAGTGGGACTTGTCCTTTTTGTAACTAGAATCTTTTTATTAGAATGCTTTTATTAATATATATATCATTTTACTCTATGAAATCTTTCTCCTATAGTTTATTTGGCTACTCAAGGAGTCAATCCAAAAGAGCATCCAGTAAAGCAGGAATTGGTAAGATTTCAGTTAATTTATTTTTATTTTACATGTCTGTCTATTATAATGGTCCCACAATTTCAGTCAGTATCTTTATCACACTAAGTATGGAGAACAAAATTAGAGTTGAAATTAGGAGTGAGCCAGATTTTATCATGTCTTTGGCTTTTCTTTTACCTTTATCATAGAATTGGTGTTCCATATATTATATAAGTCTGGATGGGTAAATGTTATGATTCTAGTAATTATTTATAACATCTATATTATTTTTCCTATAAATTCTTAAAATCCTGTTCATCTCTGGGGCTGCTTTTTTTCTTTTAACTCTTACACAATCCTTAAAAGTATATTCTAGTTGATTTACTAGCAAAGACGGGAAAGTTTCTCCCCCACCTTTTCAATTCCTCCATTAATTCATTTTCTCAGCAGTAAAGAATCCAGTTCAGCAACAAAGCTAAAAGCTTTTTTGGCACCAGCTATATGTGTACTGTCCAGTAATTCTGCATTAGTGACATATTTACAACCTGTAATAAATCTTGTAGGTTTGTCTTTGTATTCCATTTAGATGTATAAGAACAGTATATAAGGTCTGATATCTTCGAGTTTTTGCTGACTTCAAATATTAAATCAAATCATCCAATTTGAAGGGAAAAATTAGAAATCAAACTTACGGTTACCTTTTTGACTTGGCTTTATGAATAAGAATATTAATACATTTATTCTTTGTGTATATAAAATATAAAGTAGATCTACGTATATGTGAAATGCACTTGGCATTATATTCTTCTCGAGTCTTATGGTAATTGATATGTATGTTATTTACAGCTTAGTAAAGCACTTGGTTACTTTTTAAAAATGAGTAAATGAAACTGTTGTGTTCATTTTTTTAATGTGTGGCCTAAGACATTTTATCTTTTAAAGTTTTTGAGGGAAAAATAAATTCATTTTTAAATACAGCAGTCAGGAAAAATATTTAAAGCAAAAGCGTAAAGCAGTATGATATTCACATTTTGGTTTGACTGGCTTATGCCTTAAGAAGTACAGGCCTTACTGTCTGTTTTCAACTTTCTAAAATGCACTTTACATCTATAAAATTCTTTTTCCCTTTAACCCAAATTTATTAAGAATAATCAGTTTTGTCTTTGTAAAAGGATAAGACCTGTTTTCTTCCTAAAAATCCACTTTGTGGAAGAATATAGTGCTATTCTGGATAAAAGCTGAAAATAAAAAGCATTAAAAAACCCATTCCCCTTTCCTGACCTTGATACAGACATCACTAACTGATCACAGAGTTATTGGGGGGTTGGAAACCTATTTGCCTTATATATCGTAAATGGGGGAAGGCACTGAAAATAATTCATTCAACAAATTGAGTACCTACTGGAAGCCAGGCATTATTTCCAAGTGAGATGACTTTTTCAGTGTGCAAAGGTGAAGAACGTGGCAGACATCACACGATATAGAATGGAGGGAGATTAATGGTAGTAAATACATGAATATGTAGTATGTTAACAAGTTGTACATTATGGGGAAAAATGTAGAAGAGGGTAAAGAGGATCGGAGTGATTGGGAGGACTCTAAACGGGTCAGGGTCTCATTGACGAGGTTAACTTTTGAGTGGACTGGGAGAAAAAGGAGGAGTAGCTGGGTCGGTATTTGAGGAAGATCACTCTAGGTGGGGGCTGCTCTTGGCTATCTACTATCTTTTTTTTGGTACCGGGTATCCAACTCACGCTTGTGCCACTTAGCTAACTCCCTGGCCCCATGTACTTACTACCTTAAGGACTGTGGCTTTTACAATACTTGGAGGGGAAGAAGGAGCCAGCAAAGGGTTTTGAATAGATGTGCCAACCTTTTACAATGAAAACATTCTAACGCTCTGCATTTTTCTGTGTATGTTTATATAACTATTTTCATTATTTTAATGAAACTTGCTTTTAAGCAGTGATCAATCATTTATTCTGCTATTTTATGGCTCTCATCAACTTTAATTCTCCATTTGAAGTATAGGACAGCCATTTATATTGATCAATGGACTCAGAAGATTCAAAGTGGTCCAGCAACATATTATGTTTCTCACCTTGTAAAGTCTGATTAGAACTGTGTATTTTATTACAAAATATCATGCCCTTATCAATGAGAATTATGAAGTTGAATAAAAGATCTTGTTTTCATTCTATTTTAATTGCGATACTAGATACTAATACAAAAAGATAAATAGCTAAATCTGCCTCATCTGTTTGTTTATTTAGAAAAATTATAGCAGAATTTATATGTTGTACATGTATAAGAGCTCAGATTTTTAGATTTTGGTCTCCAGTTCCAATCAGTTAATATGTGGATTTGGGTTAATGCTCATTAAAAAGATGTTAAACAATGTATAAGCAATTCAGTGTTTATTTGTGTAGTAATATCTTGGTATGATTCTTTCTTTAGAAACACTCAGAACTCTTCTAACATGACTTTTTAGTGTCTGTATTTGCAGAATGTGAACTCCTGGAAAGCATGGCAGCGTGTTTATTTTGTTCCCTTATTTTTACTAACGCCATGCACTTAATAGGCAATAAATACTTATCTGTTGAATTTAACTGAGGTGTAGTATAATAGTGTAATAAAACTTAGTGGTGGTGAACCGTTCAGTAAATCCATCGCCTTTCTTTCTCCCTTTCCTTTTTTTTTCTTTCTTTCTGTCTATCTGTCTGTCTTTAAGGAAAGAATCAGAGTATACATGAATCGAGTCAAGGAAATAACAGAAAAGAAAAAGGCTGGCAAGCTGGATAAGGGTGCAGCTTCAAGGTTTGTGAAGAACGCCCTGTGGGAGCCGAAACCTAAACACACTGTGAAGGTTGCCAATAAAGGGAAAAGTAAAACTTAACTTTCGGTTTTGATGTGCACATACTCAAAAAGTACATCATTTTTATTGTTTCCAAAACATAGATGATTATATGGCAATGAGAGCTTTAAATTTATTCTTTTTTGAGTTCATAATTAAATTTACACTTTAAATTTGTAGTGCTAAGTGACCCCTCTTCCCCCCACAAAGACTGACTTGTCTTTACTGATTTTCCTATGGAGCACCATGAGGTTTTTAACATTGTGATATGTCTTATATTTGTACCATCTCTTTTGGCAAGATAGTTACTTCTTTATGTAGGTCAATTGTTTTGATCTTTTTTTTTTGAGACAGGGTTTCACTGTTTAATTCTGGCTGGCTTCGAACTTACTGTGTGGCCTAGGCTGGCCTAGAACTTGTGGCAATTGTCCTGCCTCAGCCTCCTGAGTGCTGGGATTTACAGGCGTGTGCCACCACACCTGGCCTGAATAGGTCAGTCTTGCAAGTACCATTTTGTAAGCAACTGTAATTGAAGTTAAATGTTTTTTGTAAACATTTGTACTATTTTAAATGAATAATAACCTTATAAAGTGTGTTATATAGACTAAAATTTTAAGTACATGTGTTTTTTACTGTATATTAAGAATGAAATGGCTTAAATACCTACTTTTCTCTATGTAGTTAATTCATCATTAATTTTCATTGTTGCAGAAGTTACTGCTTTTTTAGTAAAGTATGTAATTAAAACTTTAGAATTTAATTCTTGGTATATTGCCTCAGTGTCTATTTAAAATAAAATGTATTCTTACTAACTTTGGGTGGGAAGTGAAGTTGTATGTTGATGGCTGGATGTTACTCTGATGGCTGTGCCGTGTTAATAAAGACTGTAGACATTGTGTTGCTGACTTGTGTGCTTTATTCTTCTGAGTAAATATGCCCTCAAAATGGGTTTCAAAGTCAGATGTCATGGAAAAATACATGTTTCTCTTGCTCAGTTTTCTTGGTCTCACTTTTTCAGATTTTTGAGATCACATGTTTTTGGGGTTATATCAAGTACATACTAGTTTCTTGGAGCAAGTTTCTTTGTTACATAATGCCACTTAGGTAGAGGAGAGATCCAAAGGCGATTATATCATGTTTATATTCTGATTTATTTTTCCAGATTATTGTTACAGAGAACTCTACATTTTAAAACTTATTTATGCCCAAGCCCATGAATTTTATTTGTATGCTTTTAATGCTTTCAGTCCTGGAATCCACTGCACTAGAAGTAGGGATGCCAAGTACAGTAAAGTACCTTACTTTTTGAAAAAGGAGTTGTTAAAATTTTCTATGTGATTAATTCTCCATAAGTAACCTTGAATAAATGGACTTCTTGATTTATGGTAGCAGATATTGGAAGTGATCTTAAAATGTAATGGATTTTGTGAAGATACATGGGAGGAAATCACTGATAGATACAGAAAATCTTACCTTGCTCTGATATCAGGCATTTTGGCATGAAAGAACATTTGTGAACATTTAATAGTTATTTCTCTCCTTTTCTTACCTTCCTCTCACATTTCTAGCTACTTTTAAAAGTAACTTCACAAGTAAATGTATTATTAAGATCGAATGTAGTGTGCATGTCTTTGTGTTGCTTATTGCAAAGGAACTTACAGATTGTATTTCTAAATATCAAAGAAAAATGCTTGAATGAACAAATTACAGAAAATTATTAGCAAAATTAATTGGCTTGTGAAAGTCCAACTCTTAAGTTGGAGATTCTTAACTAAATAAAAGTAAGTAAGAAATCTTCCTTTATAGAAATAAAAGTTTGAATGTATTCCATTTTATTAAATATAATTTAAAATGTTTACTACTTAGCACAGTGCAGGTGGTCATGCATTAAATTACTTATTTATGTACTTCACAAGTATACTTAATTATATTTATATTGTCAGATATTTTGCTGGGCACCAAGTTCCATAGATGATGACTCCAGCCTGTATCTTATTTTTATAAAGTGTTAGGGAAAAACAGCCTTTCATTTCAGTTCAGTGTTTCAGAATTCCTGGAAAATTTATGACAAATTGTGCTCATTAACCTTAATTAGAACCATAAAGGGTGATAGGTTGATGTATTTGACTGTGGTGCATTTATTGTTAACATAGTTTGTTCCAAGTGGCAGTCATTCTAAGTTTAGGTATTAATTACATCTCTTATTAATCTCTGAAAATTGACAAGTTGGACAGGTTGCAGTATAGATATTTTTAAGATCCAATTTATAGACTATTAATTCAATACCAAATAATGAGGTTTTTGTCCTTAATCTTTTGTAAAATTTTCTTGTTTTTCATAGTTGCTAGGTGGGAATTCATTTTAGCAAAGTAGAATATGTTGAGAGAAAAATTGAAACTTGAATTTACATTCCTGGAATTAGGAAGTTATGACAAATTGATGAGTTTTTAAGGTACCCTACAAATTAAAAAATTCTTCCACTTAGCCACTAGAAATGAAGTGGCATGATTTCTAAATGAGGGTTTTAAAATTGAGAAGAATCTAGGAAATACCTCAAAAATGGACAACGTGTTGAATGTAGGTTTTTAAGTGTGACTGGAGAAAAAGGAGGTACTCATTTTATGATACAGTTAAATTATAATTTTATACAATAAAACTGGCTTTGCAAAGTGAATTATCTAAGATCTGAATAGTGATTCTGAGCTATATGTAATAGTTAAATTTGGTATACTTGGTGTGATAGAAAAGTGCAGTGAATTTTAAACCATTTGTTACAGTGACAGACACATTGCCAGTAAGTCTCAGAATACTGCTCCTTGCTCTGAGCCCACTTATCCCACCAGCCTTGCTATTTCTGAAGTCCTCTTTTGTTTCTAGTTGTGCTGTGGTGGCTGCCTTCATGTCCTGAATCAGTTAAAAATGTTTACCTTTCATGCTCATTTTGACTTTGAAAAAGTCAGGAACCGCACAGGGCCACATCTGATAAGTACAGTGGATCAAGACACACCCTAGTGGTTTTTATGTCTGCGTTTCTGTTATTGGGCTCTCAATGGCATGCACTATATTTTTGATCACACCTCCTAAAGACATGAAACAGGACTTCCACAATTGCTTCCGAAAGTGGCAAGGATGATAGGATAAGTGTGTTAGAAGTCTGTGTGTATGTGTGTGTGTGTGTGGGGGGGGGATATTTTGAAAGGGATCAATGGCAGGGTGTCTTACTGTAATACTTTTTTTTTTTTAATATACCGGTACTGGGGATCGAACTCACGACCGCCTGCACCAAGGCAGGTGCTTATGCCGCTGAGCTAAATCCCCAGCCCCTTACTGTAGCACTTTTAAAAAATTAAACACCTAGTTACTTTTCCAAGACTCCTGTGTAAAGGGCAGAAAGGGAAGGAAGAAAATCGCTGATGTCTTATTTTCTTCTTTCATAGCTTAGTAGTAAACTTTTTTACTGAATAATCTTGGTAATCTAACTTATTTAGATGTGATGTGAATATACTTCACTAATACCAGCATTTCTCTTCTTGTATTCTGGTCTAAAACTTCGGTTTCAGAAATAAAACTAAAGTTTGGTTATTTTATACATTAGCATTTTATAACAGTTTCTCTAGGGGAAATGTGAGGTGGGCCTGTAACAGAATTTTATAAATTTGTTCCGTTTGATTAATTTGCTTTTGTATTGCACATTAGCAGGATTTTAAGGAAATTCTTTGTTTTTTGTGTGCAGACTTGTTGTCCTATTAGTCCTAGACTGCTTCATGGTAGCCCTTGGATTTGATGTGCCTTTTTTTTTTTTGTCTTTTTCATTTTTATCGGTACTGGGGATCGAACTGATGACCGCCTGCTTGCAAGGCAGGTGCTTATGCCGCTGAGCTAAATCCCCAGCCCCCTTGATGTGCCTTTTTAAAGTGCTTATTTGATGACATAATTTTTAAGATAACCAGGAAGACTAGTAAAACTATCCAAAAAAGGGCCAGGTATTGTGATAACTGTTGGCAGTTGAGGCTTAATTTTGTACTCCATTCTCTTTGTCTTAAAGCTAAAAAGCCAACCAGCTCTAGTTCTTGAAAGGTAGGAAGAAGATGCTAGATTTTACTCTCTCCTTCTCAGCCTTGAATTTCCCAGATGTCTCTTGGCAGAGTAACTGCATGCAAGATGTCAATTTCACAAAGTGATATATTTTAGACAGTATACAAAATTTGATGGTGGAAAAAAATAAGCTTTTATAAATGAAACATTTAAGAGACTTTTTTTATTATTTGCTTTTCAGTTTAGGGATGCCTTTAGGGTGCACCATTTCAGTGTGGCAGCTACCATAAATGACTGAAGGAAATTGAAGATGATAATTCAACATTTCAAGATGCTGCCTCTGAAATGAATGTATACCTATATGGGATTTCAGGCCCTGGATTTCAAGTTTATAGTCATACATTGTTTTAAAGCGAAGTACCCAGGAAATTTGTGATGATATGATTTGAATGGGATGATTAGTAGAAATAGAAAACAATACAGTTTCCTATTATGTACATATTATCTACTGAGATGCTGTGATGAAAAATTGTTATTGCAAAAAGAACAACAGCTTGTTATATATATTTTCTATATAGTACAATCCATCTAAGTAAAAACAAATCAGTATAAGAAAGAATCTCCCCTGATTTAATGCCATAGCCAAGGATTTGCAATAGCCCAAGTTGTTACGTTTCTGATTGGTGTCATCTGACTTGGTGACTTTTACTTTCTAGTCATTCTTTGACCTACTTACATTGAAATAATTTGCTACCCTAGTTCTGATTCTCTATTATTTTTCTCCTTAAAAATAAATCATTTAAATGTATATCTCGTAGCTCTGTGCTTTTGTGGGTTTTGACAGTTGTGACTCTTAACGTTTGTGATTTTGACTTGGTGATTTTTAGAGGTCCATGGAATGTATCATGTTTGTAGTTTTGCCAGGCACGGTCTAAGTCCTGCTGAATTTTTTGTGGGAGCACGTTACTCAGCTCTGATGGTGTAGCCCTGTCTGTGTCTCAGCATCCAAGCTTTTTCCTCCCTTTGAAGTCTCATTCAGTTATTTACACTGTTTATTCAGTAAATGTTTGTGGTGCTCCTGAGTGCCATGTCCTGTTTTAATTACAGAGATTTAGCAGTTGTCTTAAAGTGGTAGAGAGATGTCATTTGTGGTCTTCATCCTTTTCTTGTTTGGGTTTGAACCAAGGCCCTCCCTGCATTCTAGGTAAGAGCTCTACCATACTGCTCCAACCTAGCATGTGAAAAATAGCTGCTACGAGCTGAATTGTGTTCCTCCAAATCCATAACTTGAAGTCCTATGCCTCAGTGTTTCATAATGTCACCTTATTTAGAAATGAAACCATTGCAGATGTAATTAGTGATATTAGGTCGTCAGGGTGGCCCCTAATTCAATTTGATAACTCCTTATGAAAAGGGGAAGTTTGCACACACACACACACACACACACACACACACACACACACACACACAGCATAGCACGTGAAAATGAAGGTAGAGCGTGGGGCGATGCCTTGATATGTTAAGTAACACAGTTGCCAGCCGAGCTCTAGGAGTCGGGCAGCAGGCTTGGAACTGATCTTCACAGCCCTCAGGACCAGCTCTTCGAAGCCCAATCTGGGGCTCAAAGTTTGCAGAATTGAGACAAAGCGTTTCTCATGTGAGCCAGCCAGTGTGGTGCTTAGTTCTGTCAGGCTTAGCAAACGAGCGTGAAGGCCTGACGGGGGTGTGAAGGTGTGTGCAGGAAACCGACGTGAGGTGAAAATGCAAACGAAAGATACCCTGGAACCTGTGTAAACTTCGTGGAGAATATTTTTGAGTTTGGACAAAGATCTGGCGACTTCGGTCTCCAAATGTCAAGGGC